AAAACTAATGATGTAATGTATGGTGGTTAACATAACAATAAAAAAATTATTTAAAGTATAAAAAAAAAAAAAATAATGAAGCAACAGGGAAGGCCGCAACAAAAGAGCAGTGTTCGAGTGTTGTGCTTGTTTGTCAAACTGACAACAGTCTGAAAGCAGACTGTCTTCCACTGAATCCTGGGAAAAACCCAACATCCAGCAGTGACGTGGACAATTCTTGGGTCTCCGAACCATTACCAATGGATAAAACATTAAGATTTCTTCCTTTCCTCTACCTCTTCTCTCTAGATTTAAATTTAAGCAGGCATAAGCCTCTGGAATTCTACACTGACTTGACTCGTTCTCTGGTTCCTTCTTTTTGTGGGTCCCCAATCCATGAGAAGACTCTGGAGTATGCTGAATCAATGCCAGGCGACTTAGGGAGGGGGAAGAGTTTCTACAGAGGCTCCCTTGCCTGATCCTGTCAGGGGCTGGCCAAGACTAAAAGTACACTGTTCAACCGCCTGAGGCAGTAGAATACTGTCAAGAGATAGTAAATTGTGAATTTGTTTCTTCCTTATCTAGCCATCGGATGACTAATGAACCCAATAATCAGGCAAAAATCTGAGTTAGAAATGATTACCACTGGAAATTGACCTCAGGGATCCTCTAAGTCAGTGGCTTCAGCCTTCAATGGAAAAATGACTCCCCCACCCAGGAACTGCCCCCACTTCTCCCACTCACAGTCTGCAATGTTTATCCCCAGGAGAGAGCTTTTAAAAAAGAAACATCTGTGAAAGAGGAAACGGCACCCCATGAGTAGACTCCTATGAGCCTCCCTTGGAGGAAGTCTGCTGTGGTTCCAGTTGGGTACTAAGGAGTGTGACCCACCTGGATAGTCATCCACTCGCAAGTGTAGTTTTATTTTATGGTTGCTGCCAGCCTCCCAGGAGCCGTCACAGTGCTCAACTGTATTATTTATTGTTCCCTGTGCTCAGTTCCTCTGAAAGAAGATTATACATTCCTGCCCTATTAACTACTGGCTGGCTATGTGACCTGCTTTAGCCAGGAAAATGTGAGTAGCCGAGCGGAAACATTACAAATCGGTACAGACCACATCCTCTTTTCTCTCTGCTGTGCGATCCACAATATTCCAGAGAAAGGCTGCTACACCAACTGGGATCCCTGAATGAAGATGTCCTGGAGTAGAGTGGTAATCGACTCTGGATGGATGTGAAGCATGAATGAGACCTAAAACTTTGTTTTTCTAAGTCTTTGACATTTGGGGGTCATTGCTGCCACAGCATGGCTTAGCCTCTCCTGACTGATGCATCCCTCGTTCTAGGTGAACCCAAAAAGTTTACAGAAAAGCAGCTCGGGTGACAACAGCACAGTGATGACTTTGGAATAATCACCATTGTACCTGGACGACAGTAACAGTATCAGAAGGCTGACCTATGGAAAGATGACCAGAGTATCAGACAGTGTCTGACTCAACTTTTATCATCTCAGAGAACCTCTGACTTAAGCCAAATTTGGACTATAGTAGTATACAATGAGACCATTAAGGTTAAATTGAGGGTGTATGTAAGATTTCTACAGCCTCATTTAATTCAAAGTTCAAGCTGAAAGTCACAGTACTAGGAAGTTTGCATTTTTATGACGAATAAAGCAATGTAATTTAATACAGGATGGGAATGAGGAAAGTTAAACAAGTGGCAATCTTGGGAGAAACAGAAAGTCAACAAGAACTGAAATATTTCAAACAAAATCTTTTAAGATTTTAACTAATGACTAGATCTTAAGAGTTGGAGGGCAGTTAGAAGTCTGTTTGTACAGGTCAAGTGTTATGCTAATACTGGAATGGAGACAAAAAATCTGAAACTAAAAGATGTGGGCAAAACTCAAAGGCCCTTTTTGTTCTGGGTATTTTAGCTACATAGAAACGCCAAATAAAAACACTAAGAAGTAAAATGGAAACACCTAGTCAGGTACAACATCATTTAATAGCTTTGATTATTAATCTGTAAGTTTGCCCTGACAAAATTCTAATAGGTAGCTTCTTTTAAGTAAATACAATAGTGGGCTTTGCTCCCTCACTAGAAATTAATTGACATGGTCTCAACTCTGAGATGTTCATATAAATAAACCAGAATCCAAATGCTGAAAAACTTCCCCCTTCCTGGTCTTCAGCAAGACCTAGATTACATACTAGAGCTGATGGCTTCTTTACTCCTTCCAAGCCAGATACACACATACACAAAATTTTTAAGGAAATCTTATTATTTTTTAAGATTTTATTTTCAAGTAATCTCTACATCCAACTTGGGCCTCGAGATCAGGAGTCATGCCCTCTACCGAAAGAGCCACCCAGGTACCCCCAGACTCAAAATTTGGGGAGAACACTGCCAATATTTTTATTTCATTCACAAGATTCCCCTCCCTCAATCCCATGGCACTTACCCTTCTCTCATATAGCTACACTGGGGTGCGGGGGAGTGGGAATGGGTTGCAGTGTGGCCCACTGTTTATAGAGAGGCAGTGTGGGACAGCAGTTACAAATCCCAACTGCCAGATATGAGTTTACTTTTCTGCATCTCAGTTTCCTGCAAGATAAATACCTGGTTGGGCTTTTGCGGGGAATTATCAACACATGGAAATCTGAATCTTTCAGAGTCTGATAAGAGGCTATTACTTTACAGATCTACGTATCTTAAATTCTAGAAGGCAAAACTAAAGTCCAAGTAGACAACCTGCCTTCAGCATAGTCTGACCCTTATTAATAAGTACTTCCTGACAACAGTTTTGAAAGATCACTTCTGATAGATGAATCTGAGCATGCAAAAGGACCTCAAAATGCATTTTGGCTTTTGCCTGTAGGCAAGAGATAATGAACAAGGTGAAAGTGTCAACACAGTTTTTTGGGGGAAAGTGCTTGTTATAAACACAGGGAAGCAAAAATCAACTATACGCCCTAAGACTTGAGAAAACAGCCTCTCCACATCATTGCTGGTTCTATACATTGCTACTAGGTAGGGTTAAGAGGTCTTATTTAGCCTATTTTAATTACTAACACACTGATTTTATGAAGTTGGGTCATTTGTTTTTCAGTAGCCCAGGAAATATTGGGACTCACGAAAACATTTTGTCCTAAGGGGGTTCCTTGTTGAGATCATCCCCACCTCTAGATTTCTACCTGGTAAACACGCCTCCCACTGGGCGATGAGATTAAGGTGATAGACTGTCGGTCCACGAGGTCCAAGGCCTGGATGGCTGATGAGCCGAAGATGAACTTCAGCCTGGGAAACAGAGAGGCTTCAGATTAGACTGCCTACTTTCAGTCACCTCAGGAACTTATTAACCCAGAGGATCACCACTGGAATTTTTTTTTTTTTAAAGATTTTATTTATTTATTTATTTGAGAGAGAGAGAATGAGAGATAGAGAGCATGAGAGGGAAGAGGTGCAGAGGGAGAAGCAGACTCCCCGCTCAGCAGAGAGCCCGATGCGGGACTCGATCCCGGGACTCCAGGATCATGACCTGAGCCGAAGGCAGTCGCTCAACCAACTGAGCCACCCAGGCGCCCCACCACTGGTACTTTTTTTAAAAATTCATTTTAATTTGGAAAAAAAGACAATATAGCAAAACCCCACGTAATCAACCCTCCCCAAATGTTAACGTGTTTCCAGAAAAAGCCCTCTTTACACATCATAGTGCTTCCTGTTCTTCCCAACTTCCTTTCATCCCTGAGGCAACTGCATGCATTTGTTGGTTTCCTTCCAGTTAATGTTTTTATATTTTATTAGACAAAGTACACTGAATATGTATACATAGCACACACACGCATACACACACATATACAGACATATGTGTGCTCGTTTCCTAAGTTTTAGAACCTAAAAAGATACGTTGTAGGCTTTTTTGGCAACTTGGGTTTCTTCTATTTAACGTGCTTTTGAAAATGATGCATGTTGATATATGTATTTTTTAATTTATTTTTTGACTAACATTTTATTACATAAATACATACATAAAATGTACATACATTTTATTTTTTGGATACCCTGATAAGCATTCTGGTTGTCTCTGTTTTACATTATAAAGAATACTCACTTATCCTCGTACGTGTCCCTTAATGCACATGAGAATTCTTCCTGGTTACATAAGTAGAATTGCTGAGCCTTAAGATGTGTACATTTTTCAACTTTAACTGGCATTGTCAATAGCTTTCCACAGTGGAAACCACAGTCCCACCAGCACTGTATAAGAGTTCTGTTTTCCCCATATCCTAACCAATACCGATATTATCAGAGATTTTCATGTTTACCACCTGATGGGTATTAATTTGTACTTTCTGTATTAGTAATAAAGGCTATCCACCTTTAAATGATAGATCAGAAAAAATTTGGTATGTGGGAAAATTCTTATGGTAAGTGAGAAAGGTTGGGCACAAAATTAGGTATTTAGAAACTCTCAATCACGTTAAAAAATTTTTAAGAAAACCCACAATATCTCAAAATAAAATATTTAATAAAAAAAAAAAGGCAATAAACCAAACTGTAACAGTGATTATCACTGGGTGGTATGATTGTTGATGCTTTTCATGTTTTCTCTATTTTCCAAGAACATTTTTTTTTTAAAGATTTTATTTATTTGAGCGAGCATGAATGAGAGGCAAAGGGAGAAGCAGACTCCCTGATGAGCAGGGAGCCCGGACCCTGACATCAAGGCCCCGAGCTGAAGGCAGATGCTCAGCTGACTGAGCCACCCAGGAACCCCAACCAAGAACATTTTTTTTTTTTACAAGTAGGAGTTATTTTTATAAACTGGAAAACAAAATGGATGAGTTGAACTAAGATGGAAAAGTTAATGTTTTAAAGAACTCATGTGATCTGACACAAAACATGAAGACAGAGCTACTATCTTCAAAATTAAAATGTTCAACCTCTTCGTTTTCCAACAAACTTTGTCTCTTGATACAACAAAGTATTAGAATGGGAAGTTTTAAATTTTTTACATTAAACATATGAAGATTATCTATGGACAAAGAAAAATGAATAAAATCTGGTCATAACTTTATCAATTAATCACAGTTAACTTTAAAAATGAATCCAGTAAGAACTTTTAAACCTGCCTTTGTAACTTTATCTTACTGTGAACACCTATTTTTTTTTTACATTCTTAACGGTTACAAAGAATTCCACTGTAGAGATGAATTACCTTGCTTTTCCCCAAACTCTATTTTTAGATAATTAGGGTTTCTTAAATCTAATGTGAATAACTAGATTGTCTGCAGGTGGGGTTTTGTTTTTGTTTTTGCTACTATAAGCAATACTGGATGAATATGCTCACTATAAAATCTTTATGAACATGCATGATTACTTCCTTGGGATACACTCTTATAAGTGGAATTTGTGAACCGAAGAATATGTATATGTTTTAAAGCTCCTATCACCTGTTGCCAGGTTACTTTCCAATTTACACTTGTACCAGCAGGGTATCGATTACCCTTTTCTCCATGTTCTTGCCAACATCTGGGACATTCTTACCAACATCGTTTCTGTGGTTGCCAGTTTTATAGATGGGAAGTTGCATCATTATTTTAATTTATTTATGATCACTAGGAAGATTTACCCTTTTCCCCAAAGTTTTTGCTAATTTACATTTTTTTTTAAAGATTTTATTTATTTATTTGAGAGAGAGAGA